TAGAGAGGAGCATATACCTATTAGACCTTATCTGCCAGACAGACTACTATAAAGATAAGGAGATAGAGTCAGTCCTTCCTAGGCTCAGTCATATAAAGGTACATACTACCAGGATCCCCCAGCTTGTTTACCTAGACCATCCCCCCCATCCTTAGTTCCTATTAGTTACGCACTTCTGAAGAGTAAAATGAACTTGCCCACTGAATTGAGAAGGCCCACCTTCCAGTTTTACCTAAGTTGCAGGATCGAATTTTGACCTTCTCTCCTGGCTTTCTTGTAACTGCACACCTCTTTTGATGGACCTGTATTTTCTATCCCATGCATCTCCTTTGCCCATCAACTACTGCCCAGTGTAGAAATCAACACCAAAAAGACCAAAGAAAATTTCTGTTAGAAAGAATGGTTGATTTAGGATGTCTTCATCTTATCATAGAGGAACTTTAAAATAGGCATTTGTCTATTAGTATCCACTCTGTAGCATAGTATATTAGGTACTAATATAGTAAGTAGAACATTTCATTTTACCCTCATAGATCACCTAAAAGGAAATATGATACCTTTTTTTTGAGGGGGGGGATTGTTGTTTGAGAACTCAGGTTTATTATTCCGGCATACCCAGATGAGCTTAGTGCTCTGAAATTCTGGGCCCCGAGCTGAGGTTACGTGGAACTTTTGTAGGAAATTTGATATCATTTCTTTTAACCATTACAATATTGGTGAGTTCGAATTACTGACCTGTGTGACCAAAGATCATGCACAGGAATTCTTCAGTAAGTAGTACACAGATGCAGAATGAATGCAGTGAAATACCTCCAAGCGACATCACAAAGTGACCTTCACCACAGGCAGCAGTTTCTCAAAATAACTGTAAGCTTACATTTCTAAGAGCTATATTTAAAAAAAAAAAAACTAGCATAAAGATGCTACAATTTACACAAGTACTTAAACTACACTCTTACAGGGACCAGTAATTAAGTAACACTCTTACATAAAAGACCAAAACTGTAAAAGTAATATTTCTTCTTCATTTCCCCCTCTGATGCCTGTCTGTATCATATAAGGCATCAACCTTTATAAAGCTGGATATTTAAGGTCTTCCTGTTCAGAAGTCAAGACCATCTTTAGTTTTGTTGCTTTTAGGCATGACATAACAAACTGGACCAGGCAGTTTAAAATGTAAAGAGTGAGTATTAGGCCTAAGAGTGTCATAGCAAGGGGTCTTGCCAGGGGCAAGAGGCAGGCTTCCTGGCCAGGTTCACTTCTTGACTTTTTCAAGTTTCCATTGACATGGCAACTCCAGGTCACCTTCACCCATGCTGACCCGTTCCAATTGGATTCCAGATTTTATGGTTAGAAGGAACTTTTTTTATCTCCCAAAGTTTCAGGATCTGGTCTCCAGCAGTTAACAGATAGTTTGCTAAAGAATGTGACATTCTGTCCACTTAGGCCAGGCAGGGCTGCAAGTATCTTGCTTCTTGGAAAAGAAAGCATGTGGAGGTGAAATATGATACCCTTCTATTAGTGAGAAGCTTAGGTTCAGTAGGGTAAAGTGATCTTCCTGAGTTATAAATGGGACAGAATTAGGATTCAAATCTGTTTGTGTGTGACATCAAAACTTGTGTTTTATCTTCTGTTTTGTACAGTAACTTAGGCAGAATTTATTATAATTCTTATACTTTTTTAACCTATATTCTTTTGTTTGTTAGTTTGTTACTGAGGATTGAACCCAGGGGTGCTTAACCACTGAGCCATATGCTCAGCCCTTTTTATTTTTTAAGACAGGGTCTTGCCGAGATGCTTAGGACCTTAACTACATTACTGAGGCTGGCTTTGAACTTAAAATCCTCCTGCCTCAGCCTCCTGAGCCACTGGGATTATAAGTATGTACCATGGGCTTTCCAGTGTTCTTTAGTAGAACAGGTATTTTTTGAGTGTTCTTTGCTAGGGCTGGAGTTATAGAAAATAATTCCAGATTCTTGCTGTCAAGGAGCCTATAGTTCAAAGGACAGGTGTGTAAACAAAAAGTCATACTATAATAATGATGGCATTCCTCAAAAGCAGCAAAGGCATAGAGAAAGGAC